GGGTTCCATTTTTTAGGAAGTTTTAGTACAAATTGCCAAGAACAATCAATTCCAGCAAGTTTAAAGTCACTGATTTCCATGATCATGGGTGGTTTGGACATTAAAAACTCTGAAGCTCAAGATTCCCAGCCATGCTTGACTGTTTGTCAAACCATAATGTTCAATGCCAAGGAACGACAGGGAAGATCAAAATCCGGTCAGACGCGACATAGCAGGACCCGCGAACCACCACTTCCATTGTACATCGGTCTCAATGTACACGCAACAACCAGAAGCAAGGCATTAATCATGAAGCTTTGTCAACTGGGTTTATCTGTGTCATACCAAAGGATCTTGGAACTCGAGGAATCCCTTGCCAGCTCTATAAGCGAGCGATTTGTTTMTGATGGTTGTGTAGTACCTGCAAGTTTGAGGAAGGGGCTGTTCACGGTAGGAGCACTTGATAACCTAGATCACAACCCCAGCTCAACAACCGCCACAYCTTCATTTCATGGGACTGGCATTAGCCTCTTTCAGCTCCCAACAACTGMAAATCATGGGGAACCTAGAGATCCGGTCTCATTACCACCACAAGGATCAGGACACTCACTGCCAGACGAATATGCTGTTGTCCACCCTGTTGAGCTGAGCACCAACTCTTCAGTAATACCAGCAATAACCATGAAAGAGACAGGGGGGTCTTTGATTACTCAAAAGGGTGAAGAAGAACGATGGAAAGAAGAGACTATTGTTAAATTGGACACTGAACCCGTGGCTGGTGAAAAGTTGACATGGTCASCTTTTCATTCTGTAAACCAAGCCAACGAACACCAACCGGCACTAACTGCTCTATTACCACTATTTTATGAGAAGGCGTCAACCCCAGCCATGATAAAGCATGGGATGGATGTGATACGGAAGGCGACAACATTTCTGAACCCGGGACAGATCCCAATCATCACTGTAGACCAGCCTCTATTTGCATTAGTGAAAATGGTGCAGTGGAAGTGGCCAACGTCACACGGTGAGCACAAATTTGTTGCGATGATGGGTGGTCTTCACATAGAGATGGCGTTATGGAGTGCAGTTGGCGACTTATTAGATGACTCAGGATGGACCAACGCCTTGACAGAAGCTGGTGTAGCCTCCTCCGGAGTTGCGGATTCATTCCTGAARGCGTCACATCTAACAAGAACAAGGTATGATTTGGGTTTTTGTTTATTTAAATAACTGTTTTCTTAGCCAAACTGTAATACATATATTACATTTCAGGCATGCTCACCAAGTTACATCTATTGCTCTGTATATACTGAAAAGAGAAGCATTCTCACTGTGCATTGATGGTACTACAATGGTTACTTGGGAGGATCAGTTAAAAAAAAGAAGCCCTACGTWTTTGTTCTGGAATCTCATCTTGGAGTACGAAACCTTGATTCTACTTGTTGTCCGTGCACACCGCCAGCGTAACTTTACCTTGTATGTGGAAGCGCTTGAAGAGCTAATACCATTATTCTTCGCCCTTGRTCATGTGAATTACGCCAGATGGACACCAATCCATCTCCGAGACATGAAATCCTTGCCTGAATCCATCTCCAAGGCATTCCAGGAGGAGGGACGKTGGGTGATATCAAAGACAGGCAATCAGTTCTCTTCGATTCCCATTGACCAGGCCCACGAACAAGAAAACAAGGTTGTTAAGAGTGCAGGAGGAGCTGTTGGCCTCACAGAGAACCCACTTGCTTTTAGGTAAAAAAATTKAAACATTTAAAATAGMAGTAAGTTGGTTTTGGCTAACCAGTGTTTGTTCATATTTTTTCTTAGACGTTGGATGCTTTCAGGCCCAGAATTAACAAGGTTGTTACGTCAGTTCGAAGGTCAATATATTGACAATGGCGATGATGATTCTGAGCGCCTAAATCATGAGATGGGCTTAAGTGCTCAAAAAACATTCAGGCAGCAAGTGAATAATTTAGTAGATGTTATAAGAAAGATGGGAAACCCATTCATCGATRATTTCCCCGAGCTTGTTACCCTGGATAGCCGCGATTGTACAAATGATGAAGTTGCTCAGTCTGTGATGAACCTCAACAATCTTGGTCAGACTAAGTATAAGGAGTATGTCAAGGCAGTCATAGTGGAGCGAACGACCTCCATTCACGAAACCATCAAGATGAACAAGATTCCTCTATTCAAGAAACGATCTCTACCAAACAAATCTAAACAGAAAATGAAGATAGCAGTTCTTCAAAATAATGTAGCACTATTTGCACAGCTGTACATTGCCATGCAGAGCCGTAATGCAGATCTCAAAGAGTTTTTCAGCCACGAAGTTTTGCCATTTCCCCC